CTGCCATTATGAAGTTGTCGTCATGGAGCCATCTGTCCAGAGCAGAAGAGGACAAGGTGTGAGGCACTTCTGGTCTGGCTCCTCCCTCTAAGCTGTTCAGGATGCAGGGCTGACCCTATGGATCTGTGTCCTGGCAGAGTTAGATCAGAACTGCAGCGCTGGAAGTAAAAATAAAAATATGGGTTGGAAAGGTGATAAGTAAGGAAATCAGGAGAGAAAAAGAATGGAGTGGTGAAAAACTGGTTTATGAATCAAGAAAATGCTTTGGATTTGCTTTTAGTAAATAAGGGTGGGAAGTCAGGGGGTACAGAAAAGACAACATTGGCCACGTGGTAATAATAGTTGAAGTTGGAAGACGGGTACTTTAATAGTTATCTCAGTCTTTACAGGCAGTATGAAAATGTCCATAATAAAAAGTAAAAGCAAAAGTAAAGAAACTTAAGAATAGGGTGACTCTATATCTCAATTTGTCCAAGATAATATTAGTTTATGCCTGTTGCCCTTGCAATAACTATTGATAGTGTCTCCTTTGAGTTTCAAAACTGGAGACATCAAAAACAATTGTAATTCTGTGTCAAGTTGCATCAGTCTTATGATTTACTTTAGTTTCTTTATCTCAAAGTTATTTACTATTCCTCATTGTGTTCATCTTTACTCATAACTTCATTAGACTGAAAGATTCTTGACTGCATGGTTTATGATTTTCTTTCATTTTAGTATCCTCTGTAATGCCTCACAGAGCTCTATGTACAATGAAAAGTGGAAAGAGGGAGGAGGAATTGTGAAATGTCTTGGATTGTAAGTGAATGCCACTAAAATGTATTCATATTGTAGTATAATTTTTAGAAAAGAAAAAAAAATTCAGGAAACATTGACATGATTTAAGGTAAGGAGAGAATACTGTTGCTCTCTCCAGTTAGCCATAGGAGAAACCCAAAGACAAAAGCAAAAGCTTTCAGAAGAGAAAATGAGAATCTGTGCAGTTTAAAGGTCTTGGGAAAAGGAACTCTTGTCTTATTAGGGCAAAACCGTTGGAGAGTCTGGCATTTTAGGATTGCCAGGGAAGAGTCCCAATGTTTGCTCAAATATATTTACCAAGAGTTTTTGAAAGTAGGGAATTTCTGCACCTGTCATACAGTCTGGCTGGCAATACTTATCTATTTCTTTTTCTATTTATTAAACAAGTCTTTATGTGTTTGGAGCATACAAAGTGCAGGACATTGTTATAGATATTAGAGAAAGAAAATCAAAATATAGAGCATTAAATAAATTACCAATTTAGTGAAGAAACTTGTGGCAGGAGCAAGAATAAGCTTCAGGAGGTCTATAATATTGTATTCGATATTTTATATATTTCATGACTTTTTTTTTGTTGTTGAGGAGAGTGTCCGTCCATATATTTCATCATAGTCTCAAATGACTGTCAAAAGTGAGGCTAATAAGCACTGAGCATGTGTAGAAACAAACAAAAAACAGATAATTATAATATAATATGATCAAAACCAGATAACAAAGTTTATGCTTCAGGGATCCTCATTGTACAGACCTCTATAAAGACCCTGTAAGGGGCTCAGCAATGGACTTTATGAAAGTCATATAATTATAAGTAATCAAAATTAGTCACTATACAAGAAAAATCTCAAACACCCTGAAATATTACATTGCACACATAAAAGACTTAATAAAGGTTTTCTAAAATTTGACAATAGTAAATTTAATTATTTATCTCATTACCAATAACAAGCTGTGAAGCTGAATTTTCTTTTCTAAACTATTAATAATACAAACTAAATTTCTATTAAACATACTAAGGAAAGGCAAATGCCTTTCAGTTCTTGCTATAGAAATTATAACAAAATAATTCTCTTAAGGGAGGCAATTAAATAAGACGCAATTTGAAAACTGTAGGGAAAAGGTATCATGGAAGTGAGTCAGGAAGTTGATTAGTATAAATATGAGGGGGTTAAATTTTGTGATGTTTATGGCATTTTCAACCTTTTAATATTTATAATTTGTTGCGATTTCTTTCTTATGCTAAATAGATCCTCATTTTCATACTTATTTTCTGCAATTGTAACTTGGTATTGTTTTTCTCAAAGTGGGCCCTCATCTTGTAGGTGCATCAGGCCCAAAAACTTAATTTCATCTCTGACTGTGATCAATGTATTGATGAAGGTAGGTGCCATTTCTTATAAGAACAAAAAGGAAAAGCATTTAAATCAAGCTAATCTAAGAAGACTTACATAGAAGATATACAAATGAACATGCCTGACCCAACACCAATCATCTCCTGGATTTTGAATCCATTTCTAATCAATGCTTTCTTTGCCCTGATTCAAGTTTCCTTATATTCTCTTCTTATAACTTCCCTTGTGCTTTCCAGAGTCTTCCTTTAAAGACAAAAGGAGGGAGAGAAAGAGAGAGAAAGAGCGAGCGAGAGAATGAACCAACTCCATCCTGAACCTCTTCACAGAAAGCTCCCTACATCTACTTACCTTATTAAACCTGAGGTTTAATAGAATTTACTGCTTGCCTAAAGGCTTCCTCTTGAGAAACCCCATCCTCAGAAGTCACATGTACCACAAGGTCCAGAGTTCCTGTTCTCCACAGCCCACAACATCAACACCAAATCATTTATCCTGCAATATCTGACTACACTATTTTTCAGATGTCTCTTCAACCACCCTTATCACACTTGGACAAAACTGAAAGGCTCTGGCCCCTAACTAATAAAATTATTTTCCACCATAAATCCTACCCTCATCTTAAAGTACTATTAGCAAGTATTTGAAAACAACCTATCTGAAAACAAGACAAGGTTTTTTAAGTTTTTTTTTTTTTAACCTCTTCAATTCATCTTCAGTGTAATTCAGCCCACTCCCTCATAGTCATAATGTATACCTTGTCAACACACAATTTCATATATCCTAAGCAATTTACCAACAATTTTAGTTCTCCCAGTTCTCCCCCTTACTTCTGCTATACCTGTTTCTCAAACTCAAAGAGAACTCACTTTTCTTTCATCGTCTCCCATTTCATTCAATGTTCTTGTCTTCCAATCCATTCGAGCTCTGCTACCAGTTTAATCCCTTCAAGCACTGTATGCCAAAATCTTTAACTCTCTAAAGTCCTAACTGTGACAGAGATTGTTGGGGGGTGGGGGATGGGCAGGAACTGCATTAAATCTTCACATACTTTCTCCACTCCTACATCAAAGACACCAATGCTACTCTGGAAAAAAAAAAATCCCAAAACCAATGTGTTTGTGAAAGGCTTAAAAAGAGAATATAGAAATCAAAACTGAAATGGCTTGTCCTGGATCCCCAGCCTAAGGAATAGAGATATAAAATCCAGTAGATATTTCAAAACTTTCTATGCCACATTGCTGTTTTCTTTATTCTCCTGGATATTGCATTCACACCTCCTCAATATTCTGAGTTTCATCATTTATGTACAGTGCCAGTAGCTGAAAATCCATTCTCATTGTCTCTCAATCACAGTAGAGTTAGTTAACCAAGTACCTTTTCTTTCTAATATAAAGTATTTAAGGTTTTTTTCTTTTCTTGTCCTAGATTGGCTATGTGGATGCTGGAAGATGGGGAAAACTTGTTTCAATCTGAACATTATCCTTGCCATCAACTTGCCTTAAGAGGCTGGATTCATCCGGGCGGTTTTCACTGTTGCAAGTTAGGCACCTTATTCCACGAGGTGCAAGTAGCATGGAAGAGAAAAGCAAAGTTCATAGACAAAACTTCCAAGAACAAAGATCTCTGAATTGGGAGGAAATTCTAACTGCCAGATTTGCTCTCGGTATTTCTCTTGATATGTTTTCTACTTATTATGGAGTGACAGTTGTTGTGGATGGGAGGATTGAAAATGGGGAGAACTAACCAAAGATATAATGTTGTGGAAAGGACTGATAAGCTACACAAACCCGTATCATATTATTCTTTTTCTTGGAGCTCAGCATGAGAGCAGGCAATAACAGGAGAATAACTTCAAAAATATCTGTAAGCCAGATTCATTGTCTTCATTCCTAGGACTTACAGAGATCAAAGCTCCTGAAGTACCATCATTCTACCAGGGATACTGTGAGGTGGTCCCACTCTAAATCCATGTCCTCTAACATCAGTGGACTGTCCAGTGAGCCAACAGCCCACTTATTCATGTTTGATAAACTCTTCCTTTCCCCACAGCTGTTTCAAATTCATCAAGACCCCTCTCTACCCATCTTCCCTCTTATTCCAATGCCCTAATGCACTGTTTTCCTATCTGTCTGTCACTAGTATCTGTCCCATTAGAGTCATGGAAGTAATTCAGCTGGTTATAGCCTGCAGTTGTTTTCCTTAAGGGAATAGAACAGAAACATCAGAAAGCATCCCTAGAAGATCCTTAGCAACTCTTGAACACACAGTGCCAAATATTTGGGTTTAAGTGTGTGGAAGGCCACAATGTCACAATATAAAATGGATTTCTTTCTCTGGAGTATGAGATAGATATATATACCAAATTCAAAGACAAAATGGTTTCTAGGCCTTTCAGCGTCTGAATCCACCTACGTCTACCTCTTCTCTACCTTA